TTTTGTTAAATGTGAGCCAAAATCATCACAATTAAAAGAACCAAAGACTTAAACTACTTCAGTCTGTGTGCATTGAATTTATTTAATACATGAGTTTCACAATTTGAGTTGAATTACTCAAATAAATGAACTTTTCCACGACATTCTAATTTATTGAGATGCACCTGTATTTGTGCTTGTATTCTTACATTAGTCTTAGTGCTGTCAAACGATTAATCACATTCAAAATAAACGTTTTGTTTACATAATATATGTATGTGTACTGTGGATATTTATTATGTATATATAAATACACACACATACAGTAAATATTTTGAAAATATTTACATGCATATATTTATATTCCTATATTTTATATTATATATAAATATATTTAACATATAAACGTAACATTTTGTTCATGAATATATACATAATAAATATACACAGTATACACACATATATTATGTATAAAAATGTGTTTAATACATTAATGGGATGTGATTAATAATCGCGATTAATCATTTGACAGCACTAATTAGTCTATAAACTTCTAGGGTATATGCTTAAGAAACTGTCAGATAGATAATCTATGCCCTTTTTTAAAGTCATTTTGGTTAAGGATGTTTCTGCCGAGAACACTGTTGCAAATGTTAGAGACAAATGCCGTCACCAGTGGATTTGAGAGCTGCTTAGGCTATAGGATATAAGGTTCTTGAAGTAAAGATCACCTTTCCCCTACTGCCCTATTTCAGGTTTGTCCTTCTGTCTGCTAGATAAAATGTTATCTGTCAAACAGACTGCTCTCTGTTCTTTGCTCTATCGGGTATGATATGATGTCATTTGTGTATTTTAGATCAGTGATGAGGAGCAAGGTTATGACCTGGACCTCTTCTGTATACCAAAACATTATGCGGCTGACCTGGAGCGGGTGTATATTCCACATGGACTCATCATGGACAGGTACGAGTCACATCAAATTTTCTTAGCCAAGAGGTCTTGCCTAATGGACCCTCAAATTACAAATAACATGCAACCTGAAGACTGTTGACATTGCGTATTGGCTTCTCCTGACTCCTCCAGAACTGAACGTCTGGCCAGAGATATCATGAAGGACATGGGCGGGCATCATATCGTGGCTCTGTGTGTGCTCAAAGGGGGCTACAAGTTTTTTGCTGACCTGCTAGATTACATCAAAGCCCTTAATCGCAACAGCGATCGCTCCATTCCCATGACAGTGGACTTCATCCGCCTCAAGAGTTACCAAGTACGGCTATTAAACATTCATCCTACTTAATGAATGTTAAATTCAGTCAGGCCTGTCTGTGGTACTTACTCCCTTCTGTTTATTGTCAGTGTGTATATTTAATTACTATGACAACATGAATCAAATTTGATGCTTTGCGATACAAACTCGTTTTAAAGTTAAGTGTTGATGTTACTTCAGTAACTAGAACACATGAATGTCTGGACTGACTTGTGTAAATGTCTGAATCTCTGCCTTTAAACACTGCAGAATGACCAATCTACAGGTGACATCAAAGTGATTGGCGGAGATGATCTATCCACACTCACAGGAAAGGTAAGCATGTTACTGTGTATAAAAACAATCCCCACTATATCACTGTAATCTTTTATGCAAATGTCTAAAATCACATTCAGTGACTATCTGTGAGATGCTCTCAATTTGTAAAAAAAAAAAAAAAATCCATCACTGTTGACACGGTTACGTTTGAAAAAATGTAGCATGATTTCCATAAAAAATATTAAAGAGCACAACTGTTTTCAACATTGATAAGAAGTGTTTCTTGAGCAGCAAATCACATTAGAATGATTTCTGAAGGATCATGTGACACTGAAGACTGGAGTAATTATGCTGATAATTCAGCTTTGCATCACAGGAATAAATTACATTTTTAAATATATTAAAATAGAAAACATTTCACAGTAGTATTAATTTTACTGTATTTTGATCAAATAAATGCAGTGTTGGTGAACATAAGAGACTTAATTTAAAAAGAGTAGACGTTTTTATCAACCTCAGACTTTTGAACACTAGTGTATGATCAATAAATTAAAAAATGCATGTCCTAGGCATAGAGTAAAAATGACTTGTTCCAGTCTCTTGTTGTTGCAGTCTCTTAAACATATCAAAATGTGTTAAAACTCTCTCTTTTTCTCTTGACATTTTTTCTTTCTACACCAAAGAACGTCTTGATTGTTGAGGTATTTGTACATATATTTTTACATTTATATTTAATACAGCTCATTATCCAGCAAATGTTAAATGTGTTTCTGTAACCTTTACTTTGTTTTTTTAGGACATCATTGATACTGGAAAGACAATGAAGACCCTGCTAGAACTTCTCAAGCAATATAATCCAAAAATGGTCAAAGTGGCCAGGTACAGATGAATATAATGAATAAAAATGGAGGTAACCAGTGTGTCTCAGATTGGTCTTGTCTTGTAGGTATTGCGTCGGTCTTTGTAAGCAGTATGTAAATATTGCTAAGCTCTGTACAGTAACTCCCTTGTCTATTATTGATCACTAGTGCAACAAATGCCAGAAACTCCTACCTATTTTTGGGTTTATAAGCTGTATGGCCCTGTATAGTTGACATATTCCTGTCATTTGTTTTCTTTGCAGTTTGCTGGTGAAGAGGACACCGAGGAGTGTTGGCTACAGACCAGACTGTGAGTGGATTACTGAAAACACTTTCCAGCCTTTTTTGGCATGCAACTTTGATATAGTTAGGATTCAATCTACTTCTCACAAGTCATGTTTATAAATGGATGCATGCTGATGATTTCTCAGGGTTGCACAAACCGCCTCAAAAGACTAAAGCTTATTGATTTTTTAAAGAGAATCAAGTCAATTATTTTGACCACTCCTATTGATCAGTCTAGGCTATTATCGTGCGATGCTGTGTATTGACCACAAGATAGCAGACTAACACTCTGCACTGAAGTAAAATCATTTTCACAGATACCACAAAAATATTAAAGGGGTCATATAGCTATTTTAAAGATCATTATTTTGTGTATTTGGTGTAACAGAATATGTTGACATGCTTTAATGTTAACATTGACAGCATAAGAAAAGTCTTTCAAAAACATTAAAAAATCTTACTAACCAAGAAATTGCCTGATCAAAAAATGTTTTCCATTAACTTCCACTTTTCCTCCCTTTCTCTAGTTGTAGGATTTGAGGTTCCTGACAAATTTGTGGTTGGATATGCACTTGACTACAATGAGTACTTTAGGGATTTAAATGTAAGTAGCAACATTTAATCATTTAGAATATTTTTATTATTTAAAAACAAATAGTTGCCTATTACACACACACACACACACACACACACACACACACTTGGTTGATTGTGCTGCGATTTCTGCTAACAACTTCTCTCATTTTGACTTGCAGCACATCTGTGTCATCAGTGAAACAGGAAAGGAGAAGTACAAAGCATGAGAAGCCCTGAAATTCCCCCTCTAGCTGTGTATCATTTGTTTTTAATAGATGATTTTTTATTTGATATCCATTTTGTATTTTTTCAGTTGCACAGCTCACCGCAGGTTAGCAGGTCCTCCGCTCAGGGTCTCTGGTGAGGTGTGTGCTGTCAATCAATGCACCTTACATTTACATTAGCTTATACCTCCACACACACACACACACACACACACACACACTAGTAACCACAGATGCTTTGCAGTTCAGTCTCTGAGAACAGAGATCTCAGGGTTAGACTGCTGCTCTTCATTACAGTGGGTGTTTCAAACAACCATTAATGTAAGGGCCAGATTCCCTTTAATTTATTTTAACCTGCAAGACATTATGGATAGGTGTTTTAAGATAGATTAAACAGAATATTGATTTTAGGTTGTCTTGCTTTGCTATTCAATAGTGAACATACAATATGTGAATTTGACTTGCTCAAGGTAGCAAAAGAAGAGCATTCATGTTTCCCAAAGACTATTTGCAATTGTAATTTAAACCCTGATTAAAATCAGTGAGTATTATGATTATATATAATATGTGGAATGCTTTTTCATGTGAATGTACTTTAGCATCAGGACAACCTGGTTTTCCAGTCAAATTTCAAATTTATTGACATTTTAAAGCCAAATAGCACCTCCTTGTTTTTATTATTAATTTTAAACAAAGTTTAATTCTCCTGTCAATATATTTATTTGTGTCCACTTACTGTAGTTTTGGTTACTAATTATATAAATGAGATTGAAATGAAATGGGGAAAAAATCTTATGGTGCCTTGTATGGTAATTTGTACGCTACCATATAATATATGTTATGAAAATTAATGAAAAACTGATCTGAAATGTTCATGTGACCTCACCATTGTTCAGTCACCTGTCAATCTTAAATTTGATTAAATTATTCAAAGAATTTTAAGTGTTCTCCTAACTTCTCTTTTCAAAGTCATGACTAACATTGTTGAACAGGTCACATTATCAGATAGTGTGTTTTAGGAATAAATAGTATAGGAATAAACCTAATATTGTTCTTGCATTTACAGTATTTTCAGAAATAACAACATGAAGAACCAGGTATGCGTAATGAAATAAGATAATTTAGCTCACTGCTGATTTTATTTGACAGCATTGTTTATCTACAGTACAGAGGGGTAGTGTTTTTCCATCACATACATGCATGGGTACAGTCAGCTCTCGGCCGAGGATCTGGTGTGGCTCTTTGGAGTCTGTAAGTGCTGACAGGTCTTACTACAGCAGAACAGCAATACTGGATAACACCACATTACATCACATCCAGTATTTATGTGCTGCTATAGTACATTCCCTTCAGATCTGCAGGTTTCTTCTGCTGGGTTACGCAAATGTTGCTGGTGGAACAGAGAGAAACAAAACTCTAGCAGCATATCCATCACCAAAAAAGGATGAGGAGCTGCTAGTGTTGTCATAGAGCATTTGACATGTTCAGTCTCTTTCTCTCAGTGGCTTCAACTTATGATATGACCACATTATTTTTAAAGGCGTTCTTGCATGACATAAAACTAGTGTTAAGATATATTTTAGAATTTAAAAATTTACATATCAGCTATCAAAACGCACCTGTTTATATGTAGCTAAATATTTCTTTGTGTTATCCTCCTGACTACCAGCTATGGAGTTTTGTTCTCTGTAGAGGACATAATGTGTAAGCGATTTCTCTGAGACGTTACATGTCACAGTTTTAAATCTGGATGTCCTGTACAGAGCACATTCAGGGCTTTTCAGAGATACCAAATAATTGGATGTTTCACCATGACCACTCCCTCTCTTTGGTCTTTAAAAATGGCTGACATTCATTTAGTGATCAAATGTAACACCCTAATGGAAATATGATAATATTTTGTAATTATCATTTAAATCTGACTATCTGACAAATTGTCATAAATCAACATCTCAGGAAAATGTTATGGGGTTTCAAATCAAAATATGACCTTCTGTTATGAAACAGGACATCAATTTCATAAATGTCCACTGTAGAGGACACCAGGACTTAAAGCATGTTTATTACACATTTCGGGAGACAACAAATGAATAGAGAAAAAATTATATATCAATATTCCTATTAAATATTAGATATTATTATGAAAATCTTGCTAATTATTACTCCCATTATTGCACTTATTTGTTCATTCTATGTTGCCCCAAAAACACATTAATATGCAAATTAGATAGTTTATAGATACATTGTATATAATGGAAAAACTCGTTTATGGCCATTTTACACACATTTTGCATAAGGAAAAATGGTTTTTAAAAATATCTTTCATAACATAGTTGAGAATCATCTTTATATAAAGTTTGGTATAAAAAAATGAAAATTGATTTCTGATTCAAACAAAAATCCCACTCTTTTTGCCTTTTCATGTCTATTCATGTCTTTTTATTTTTTAAAAAACAGGACTTTTTAAAGTCCCGATATCCTCTACAGAGATCAGAAAATGTTATTTTTCAAAATGTTTCTTATGCTCTAAACAATGTAATGACATGACAAAATACTAAATTCCCAAAACTATTTTTTCCCGGTAGTCAGGAGGATATCATGGTTCATTAAGAGGACGTGCGCCCCCTGATGGGTCTGAGGGGAATAACAGGGTGGTCAAATAGGCCTCAATTTATATCCAATGTCCTCTAACTGAAAAACAAACAAACAGTATCCTTTGTATTAGGTCATTAAAAACAGATCTATATAAAACAATAAATATGAAAATACAACCTGCAAATTAATGTAAACCAGATAATAACAAAGTACTTTAGAATTTTACGTTCATTTTGTATAAATAAATATACATTTGCACGTAAATAATGGGAATTTATTATTTCAAACGCTGGTATGTTGTTTGTACCCTAGGTGTTGGTTAGCAACTAATGAAGAACAAAAAATAAGCCCTTGCCAGGCAGACATGACCAGACTTATCCTCAATACCTGTCACGGTCTGGTGTACAGAAGGCAAATTAATGTAAACCAGATAATAAAGTACTTTAGAATTTTACGTTCATTTTGTATAAATAAATATAAATTTGCACGTAAATAATGGGAATTTATTATTTCAAACGCTGGTATGTTGTTTGTACCCTAGTTGTTGGTTAGCAACTAATGAAGTACAAAAAAATAAGAGCCCTCGCCAGGCAGACATTACCAGACTTATCCTCAATACAACATCTCACGGTCTGGTGTGCAGGTTTTACTTGTTCTTAAAATAAATAAATAGGTAGATTAAAAATAAAAATAGGCAATTACAAAACAAAATGTACGGAATTTATAGAAAACTTGACTTCATGTAATTTGCTGGCTACACTGAAAAAAAACAAGCTGAATACACTTACACTTTTGTTAAACTGAAACATCAGCGTATTTAAGGCAAGTCAAAGTAATAATATAACATGTAAAGATTATTATAGAAATTATTTATTAAATATTATGCACAGGCCATGCTGAGGTGGTAAGAAAAACTCCAGAGACGCACATTCAGCTGGATGCCACATACAGGGTGTAGTTAACTGCTGCCTACTCAGCATTTTTACAACTCTATATAACAACAGAAATAGCCAGCAGTTCAAGTGTGCGGAATCAAAAACTAAAAAGTACAAAATGCATATTTCCAACGTAAATGTTAGTTGCCACCGGCCTCCTTCGAAAACCGTGTATATCAACAGTCCGTGGGGTGTTTCCTCAGCTGCGATTATACAGGTTCCCTAAATAGACAACTACGTACTAATAATAAAAGAGGATGTTGGTTGAGAAGATATATTGAGAAATGCGAGTTAAATACAAACGACCGATATAAAACGCGAACTGTTGATTTACACGCGTCAAAATGAAGCGCCTTGAGCGTGTAGACCAAGTTAGGCTACATTAAAGTGATACTTTGCTCTCCGCGCTCAACTACGGCACCGTTTTCAAACAAAGACTCAAAAGTAGTGAAGGCGACTCAACGCCAAGAGGCGCGTTAAACACCTCCGTCTCTCTCGGAAGGTCAGACGCTTCAGAAATTAATGAACAACACACAACTTGACAGCGTGAGAACACGGAGGGAAAAAATCCTGAAAAATAATTCCCCCAAAAATCCAAACTTACCTCGGGTCCAATCGAAAATGGCGCCGAAATGTAAAAAAACGCACCAAATTTCATTGTATGGTCTCCTGCAAAGCTTTGTGGGAGCGTGAGCTGTACAACATCCCCCGTAGAGTAACGGAGGAGGAGTGCAACTGCAGTGTCGTGGCACGCTCTAGACACACTGCATCCCCTCAGCATGTTGTCATGCCTTTTGAAGCAGCCAACTTGTTCTCAACAAACAAAGTTTCTGATTTGAATTGGGTATATTTGAATAAAACCCACATTAGCCGTATAATTCAACCTCATAAATGTTTCCATACATATTATATTATTGCTCTTTTGTTGGTTTTGATTGTTTAGTCATCATTTGTAAGTCGCTTTGGATAAAGGCATCTGCTAAATGACTAAATGCAAATGTTTTTTTATGAATACAAGCTTAATGCAAGCATTGTTGTCTCATTTCTGCTCATTTGTTTATTAAGCTCTTCACAATCTAGATCTTTAAACAAACAACTCTCTCTGTATAGTAGTTTTGTTGTTATTATTATTTTAATAGAGGTGATTTTCTGTCTACTAAAGTCAGCCGGAGTTACCATCACCTGACCTGCGTAATGACCTTGCAGTCGCCTGGCTCGAAATCTTGTGTCTCTCATTAGAAGAAGAGAAAAGAAACATTGTCTGCTGCCAGACAAGAGGCCTTGCAGTGAGCTGTAAAGAAACACGTGACTCTGGTGTTGCTCATTGCTGGTGTGTTCTTCTGTGCAAAGCCATTTTATGCTAAATTGGTTCAGGGTGGAGAGTGTCATCACACAGTGATGTGTAATATTGTAGGACGTGTTTAGATGGACATTTAGAAATTATAAGCAAAACATGATGGCCTGTGTCCTTATGCTTAGCCTACGAAGAGACGTTTTTGTTTTATTTATAAATTATTTGTATGTTATCAATTAAAATCGTATGTTTGTGGGTCAAATGTTCACTAAAAGTTTATTTTCTTGTTTGACAAGCACTGAATTGGAAAAAGTATACAAAAAATGTTTTGTTCTCTTTAGCTTCAAATCTGTGAGGGATCAGATGTAAAACATTGTACACAAGGAGATAAAAATTATATTTTTGGTTATTAATTATTTTGGTGGTAGGTGGTAGATAAACAAAACACTAAAGCCAAAAGAGGATATGACACACTGTGTGAAACATACTGAGACAAGTATGGTCAGTTTTGCAATTTATTATATTTAAAATAAATCAAAGAGTGTTTTTTATACATTCTAGTTATTAGTAAACAGAATTCGGTTGACAAGCTGGAAGTAGTGGACAACTTTTGCATTTAAATGTCCTATTTATCATAGAATTTTACATTTTACATATCCAAAATGTTACATATTATGCATATGTTAACTGTGGTGTGCGTATATCACAAGTTTTACAGCGTCTTCCAATTTCAAAAGGGTTTAAAATTTGGCTTATTTCAAAGCAACAAAGAGAATGCGCATGCGTTAAACACAATGAGACGTGCCTAGGAAACGTCTCCAGGAAGTGTGATTCCATTGGCTATTTCCCCGAATGGTTGCCATTCAAAAGGCACGCCGGCGGCCGTCGAGTTTCTGATTGGTTCACGATGCTGTCAGTCAGTCCGGTAGGAACAGAAGGGGCGGGACTCTTAACTGAGCTGTGGGTACGCTACTGCGTCCAGAAAACAGATAAACAGAATATGCTAACCTATGATTGACGCAACTAAGTTACAAACTCATACAACTAGATACTGATACGCTAAACTGGCAAACCGAAGATGTCGGAGAGGAGCCGCGCGCTTGTCTTGTGATTTGCATGCGTTTGCCCAGCAATCCATCACGAACCGCAAGCTAGTTAGCAACATGATGATGGCCAGCTGAACATTGTTGTGCCTTCAGCTCTTGTTATTATTGTGCTCACGGTTTAACGGGTTAACCTTAATGCCTTTCTGCTTTGAATTATTGCCTTTCATGCATCCTTTCCACATGCACTCCTAGAATTGTAGTTATCTGACCGGAGCCGCTCAGTTTTAGGTTCTTGTGCGCCATCAAGCTAAGCTAACAGCACAGGAATGGTGTGCATGGGCCAAACCCCTTTCTCATATTTGCTCGCACTCGCAGCTAACCATCTACAAGTTTGGACCAGAACGTGGAGAGTTTTCTAGAAAGAAAGGCGGTGCAGATCGAACAAACAGAATGATGGTTTGCTGAAACCCACGGATCACTTCCTTAGGTATTGATCGAGACCTACATTGACCCTTAAAGTCACCATGAAATCAAAATTGATACTGCTTATTGTTTGAGGAAATATTGTAGTGTTTCTTATAAATAATTTATCTGTGCACTTTATTGTTTTTTTTTTTATTCATATACCCTCATAATCTTTAATCAAAAACGTCAATCCACCTCGAAACGGCCGCTCCTGTCTTCCGGTAACGAGCTATGCCGCGAGGGCGTGGTTATCGTGGACTCGTTTCTGTCTCTCTCTCCTGTAATTGAAAAGCTCGCAGCAGCAATCAGCGATCGACATCATGGTGGTGAGGTGCATTTTTGGTTGTACTTCTCCACATGTCCTCTTCGCTATCCCGAAAGAACCCTCTCGGCGTGCCCGATGGCTCGAATTTTTACACTTTGAAGGAGGAGGAATAAACGCGAATTCGCGATTGTGTGCAAGACATTTTACAGAGGATTGCTTCAAGAACTTGAAGCGGTATGAAATGGGATTAGTCCAAATTCTGCATTTGTCTGACACGGCTGTCCCCACTGTGTACACAGTTGGAGTGTCAACGAATGTGAAGGTTGGTAAAACTAATTAACTAGCTAACTAGAAAGAATCGTATAACGTCTTTAGATGGATGTTATGAAATGGCATTTTGTTTCATTCATCCGATAGCCACTTACACGAGATGTTGGATGCCAATGTGCCCCCAAAACTGTTCGCAACACTGGAGTGCAAGTGGCATTCTCAACTCCAAAGCCGAAACGACGGAGTAAAGGTAAAGTATTTTTGATATTCGCAGTAAATCGTTTTCAGAGTTTTTCAATGGTCTGATCATATTTTGTCTTAATTGTAGCGGTCCAGGTAAAACCTTGGGGCCTGTCATTGTCCTGCTCTACTGCAGATCTTGGCACCATGTATGATCCTCCTTATTTGACGTCTACACCGATCAAAAGGCCACGGATGGAAAATGGCAGCATTGAGATCAACGACACGTCGTCGGATAACGTTACAATAAAGGAATCAGCGATGTTCGACTCCTGATATCACTCAAGAGGACGATCAAAAGTAAGTCTATCTTGGTGTTAGACTGTGTGACTTAATTAGTTTATAGTACTATAATGTGTTTGTCCTACTTTCTGTTCAGGGTTTGCCAACCCCTCTACAGTGCATCTAAATACACAGTGTACGAGAACATCTTGCTAGACCTCTTTAGAAAGTGCTCCACATGCATGCTCACCTGCACTGTCAACAAATTTGTGATCGGAACCTTTGTGTCAATCACACAGCAGTTGGTCATGAGGACCAGGATTACAATTTTGCAATAAAGACTGCTGAAACGGTATTGTTCATATTTTGTGATGTGAAAGTGTCAGTTTTCATGTTATCATATCAAAAGCAAGCACAAAACTTCTTGCAATTTATTGGATGTGACGTGAGCAACAGTTATGTTCATTCATCAACTGAAAATGGCATAGACTAAAAGATTCTGGAGATTTAGGAATTGATATTGGTTGATCAGCATGAGAATACCTATTTTTAACCAAGCCCTAACACAATAGCCAAACCGTGATTCAGACCTTAAGCAAGTAACTTTTTTTTTTTTTTACTCCTTATACTGCTGTTTGTTTATCAGGATGTGATTGAAAAAAAATTGTACCCTTACTTCAAAAATAATATTTTCATTTTAGACTGTGGACGCCCTGCTGAAAATACTTTTTGAAGATGTTGTTCCCAACCCTGGCCCATACCAGGAAGAAATGAGTGAACAAGGTCCCTGACAGTCTGTGTGCTGCCTTCAAAAGGCCCGACCTGCAGGAAGCTGCAACAAGACATTGGTCCTGCTTTTCACAGCCTCCCTTGGTGGTCTCCAGTGAACATTTAATGTATGCGAGAGAAACCGAACGTGAGAGTCTGTAATAGAGGCTAAGTATGTGTATGTTTGTCTTGACTGTACAGTGTTTGGGAAAAATGTGTATATAGTTATTGTCAAGGCAATATATCTGAAATGTGTTCTTAAAAAATAAAATAAAAATGACAATGAAATGGTACAAATCAAGTATTTGAATCATTTATTAAAAATCTATTTAATCTATATATTAAGGCGGTTGTAACTGAGGCAGTTGAGATCCTTGGTACTGGTCAGAAGGAAATGCACTTCTGATTTTCTTTCAACAATGCAGGAAGGGATGACAACACGCACACTTTTCCCCAAATAGCCCCAGCACCACCGGACAAAGGTCCTGTAGGCAGTGTGACAGTATCGTCAGTAAAATGATTAATATATAAAGTTGATATGTGGAGCCTACATTACAGTGTATAGTACAATAACTCTTGCGTAATAGTATCTCACGTATTTATTACTTAACTCTTCCTCTGTAAATTCTTGTTGGTCATAATCGTCATAGTACTGAAGCATGGATGCATATTCAACTTGCAGAACCCATGGATTAAGATAGACAGCTTCAAAACCTGGGTGTTGAGTCATGCATTCAGGTTGGGGGTGGGCATTTGTATGGACATTTGTCCATCTATCCTCAAACTTTCTACAGCTTGTGTGTGAGAGTGATCATAGAGGGCAGTTTATGAGCACATATGTGTAATGACGTATTACAATCTACAGATTTCCCATGTGCTCATAAACACAGACTTAAAAAGAACATATACCAGTTTGCATGTGTGAAAACATGCGTATATGCATAGCACATAAGTGTAACGAATGTGATCCTACATTTCTGTAACAAAGCTGCCTAACCTCCCTACAACAAAGTTTTTCTCGACCAGTGACCATATTCCTGCAGAAGCCACAGGAACACCTGAAGAACAGGTATAAAAGGGTAAAGCTGCCATTCAACAATGTTGCTAACAAATAAGATTCGTCAATGTTGTGGTGGCTGTAAACTTTAAAGTCTATGAATGGTGGTTATTGTTAGGACAGTTAAGGTCAATAAGTAGATTTATAAAATAAGTATAAGCATTACGACAAGGCAAGAGGCTCCCGAGGGTGAACTTGACCGCTGGCCACCTCTTCGTCTCCAATCAGTTCCCGATGGACGAAATCAAGTCCCGGCCTGCATTTTTTTCTCATTTCAAAAGCCGTTTCACTCGGATATACGTCACGATAGGGGGGAAAATACAACCCTAACTTCCGTTTCATGCCGACAACAACGACAGAAGCCCCAGTCTTTCTATATAGGCTGCAAAATGAGCACATGGTGAACTGTGACACTGATCTGCTTTGTGCCTTTCAACGATGTAGCTTTTCAACCTGCGTGCTTTTTTTGCGGCATACGTTACAAGGACAATAAAGATGAACAATCAAGGAATCATGTCACAAGAGAAGATGGAGCTGGATGTGGACATCCCGTCGTCGCTTGTTCAGAGCGATGGGCACTTGAGACGATCTAACAGCGAACCCATGATAAACGGCCTGAGGTGACGACTGATTACATATCTTGTGATGTTTAGACCAGTAAATGTATTCTATTGGTATGTTATTCAACCTGGTGAGCTGCCTACTTGACCATGCTGAAAGATCCAGCTTAAGCTGGTAGTTGACTGGTTTCTAATTGGTCCAAACTAGCTAAACCAGTTTTAAAGTGGTCAAGCTAGTTTTTGGAACCTGGTAGCTGCTTTGCCGTCTGGAAAACACAGCTTAAAGGGCTAGTTCACCCAAAAATGAACATTTGCAGAAAATGTATTCATTCTCAGGCCATCCAAGATGTAAATGAGTCTGTTTGTTTATCAGAACAGATTTGAAGAAATGTTCCATTACATAATTTAAACACCAATGGATCCTCTGCAGTGAATGGGTGCCATCAGAATGAGTTCAAACAGCTGATAAAAAACAAAAAAAAATAATGCACATGAATCCACTTGTGAAGCAAAAACCTGCATTTTTCTAATAAATCTGTCATTAAGATGTTTTTAACATAAAACCATTCATTTGAGCTCTCTTTCTGACGGCACCCATTCACTGCAGAGGATCCATTGGTGAGCAAGTGATGTCAATTTCTCCAAATTTGTTCTGATGAAGAAACAAACTTGCCTACATCTTAGTTGGCCAGAGGGTGAGTAAATTTTCAGCACTTCCTTTCATTTTTTTGGTGAACTTAGGGTATAGGTTTGCAAAAAGGGGTGCATATAATTTTGGGGCATCATGTTCCTACACAATTTTTGATGTCTAAAATGCTGTATAGCTGGATAACTTACAAGTGTTGAGAGATAACATGCATGACTGTCGTGGTTGCTCTCTCACTGATAGAGAGCAGAGATATGAAGCCATGCTAGAATAACATGTGTTGAGTTATCAGGGCCGCTCTCAAGAACAGATTGTGTTGGTTAGTATAAAACTCACACATTAGTACGGCAATGGTGTTAAATACAATATTTACTCTAAATGCGTACTTTAGTTTGTACAGGTTTACACTTTTAAAACACGTTTTGACCTTGTAATGTTTAATTAAAATGTCAGAACTAGACCTTCCGGTGAAACACCAGACTTCTCTCTGGTAACACATGCAGGACTTCTCCAGTTATTTTATGTTTAAACCCCACCCTCTGCCTGCATTTTAAAGTGCAACGCCAACATCTCAGAACCAAATCCCTGCCCTACATTTTCCCCACACACCTTGATATGTTGCAATAAGGATCTGTCACTACTTGCTCAGTTTTATTGTGACTTTAAAGTTTAAATGAGTAGCTTTTAGTACATGCTTATGTTAAAAATGTCTTCTCTTTCCCCAGTGATGCTTCTCAGGTGTTCCAGAGAGAGGTTCTCCGCAGCAGAAGAAACAGTACTACTGTTGTCCGACCCAATGTGGTACGTAAAGAGTTGCAGCAGAATGCGCTCTTAATGTGTGGATTGGTATGGTTTGTTTAATGCATTTTGCTTATTTGGATGTTCATGCTTTTTAGGTTCCATCTTCACCAGTACGTGTTCCTAGCACAAGACTGCAGAGGATCAAACAGGTGATTTTCATAGCATGTCAGACTCACTACTTCTATATATGTGCATATGGGAGAGTGTGCTTAAAAGTACATGCTAAAATTACATTTTGGAGTTCTCGCAAACCACCAGTCTTTCAGACTTAGACTGGTTGGTAGTACCGTGCTCCAACATGGCATTATAGATATGTACAATAAGTTACTTGGTGTTGATGTGTTTGCTCATACAGGGATTCTTTATATGCTTGTTCATTTGTAGGAAGAGGGTGTTGATGTGATGAACCGTGAAACTGCTCATGAACGGTAAGAGCTCACATCTGCTGAACCTCCAGGGCATTGGTTTCTCATTTTCAGTTACTGACAGCAGGTTTTGTCCGCTTGCAGTGTTCATAACAATAATTGACAGGTAGAGCCCGGCGTGTACCGTACACACTAAAATGAGGGCTTCTATTAGACTGCTTGACTTTGGTCATTTGTTGGATGGAATAATGTCAGTGTTTAGTGGCATATCTATTAATTTCTTCCTGTCTGTGTATTTTTTTTTTCCCCTTATAATGTCAATCAATCTAGGGAAGTGCAGGCAGCCATGCAGATGAGCCAGTCTTGGGAGGAGAGTCTTAGTCTGGTAAGTGCCTGGCTTACAAAAATAAATAAATTACACTGCCGTTAAAACATTTGAGGTCATTTAAGATTTTTGTTTTTAAAAGTTAGCAAGTCCAAATCTGTATTTATTTGATCAAAAAATGAAGTAAAAACTGAAATTGTGAAATTTAAATTTAAAAAAACTTTTTTCCATTTGAATATAATTCAAAATGTAATCTATTACTATGATGGCAAAGCTGAATTTTCAGCAGTCATTACTCAAGTTGTCAGTGTCACATGATCCTTAATAAATCATTATAATGTTCTGATTTGCACTCAAGAAACATTTATCATCAGTGTTGAACTTTTTTTTTTCCAGGATACTTTTGCATTCTTTTAAGGAATATATTTTTTTAACATTAAAAATGTCTTTACTGCTATCATTTTTGATAAAATTAGTGTGTCCTTGCTGAATAAAAGTATTAAACTTACTGACCCAAACTACTAAACAGCGTGTATATTTTCTTTTTAACCTGAATCATCACTATTGTAACAACAACTGAGACGGTGTTCTCACTCAGATAATATAATGATGCATGCGGTAGCTATGTTGCTACACTTCCTCTTTCCCCTATTGATGGGATTGTGGAAGAGAAAATGGAAGCATGCTAGAAAAAAGCTCATGGAGTCAACAGGGCCACCAGTCTCTCAAGAACAGACTGGATTGGTAGTATAATACTCCAACACTGCATTAATAATCAAGTGGTTAATTAGCTGTAATAATACTGCCATATTGGGTAAGAGATTTCTATGGTTATGCTTTGATTCTATAGAGTGATAATGATCTTGAGAAATCTTCATCGTCATCTCCGAAGCGGATTGATTTTGTGCCTGTGTCTCCTGCTCCTTCGCCCACCAGAGGGATCGGAAAGAAGGTATCTCTATCTTTTGTTTCATTAATAACTTGCTGTACTGTTGTTGCTATTTAAGGTTAATGCGTTGTCTGATTTCTCTCTCTTCAATGAGCAGCAGTGTTTCTCTCCGTCTCTTCAAATCCTGGTGACCAGTAACGGATTGACGCCCAGCCCTGTTCCCAGCCCAACACGCCGCTTCAGGTAAGTTCTGTTCAGGCATCCCGCCACAGTAGGAAAGTTTTCTGCTGGCATTAGGCATAATAGTATAGGTTACTATAGTGTAGGATATCAAGTTGAGTAGCTAATGTCACTCTCATCAAACGTTTGCCCAGCAGGAGGAGTCAGAGCCCGATCAACTGCATCAGGCCTGGTATTCTGGGCCCTCTCAAACGCAAAAGTAAGGGAGCACACATGACACTTTGTTTTGTAATGTTGTTACATCTGGGATGCCTAAAAACAGTAAAATCTTTTGGTGGATTCTCAGGTGAAATGGAGACAGAAAGCCATCCCAAGAGACTCTTTCAGGGAACCACCAACATGCTGTCCACAGAGGTGTCCCACTTGCCTGAACTTAACACCTGGTGAGTTTTCACAGTGGACTTATTTTAATTTTGAGTACTTTATATGTGGTGTATGACGACTTGGACGTTTTCGAGTTATAAACTCTCCATCTATCTTTAATCTGTCAACTAGTGTTGTCCAAAAAAAACAACAACAATGGTATATATCAATTCATCTGAATATTTGATACCTTCATTTACTCATTTTTTTCCAGTATCGATACAAGCTGCACTTTCACACTCCCTTCTCTCTGACAGCGAGTTGACATACCACCTGCGGTGTGTGTAGTTTAAGAAGTATATTGTCCATTGCATTGCCTATTTCAGAGTGAAGCGCAGCGCTCTGTTCATTTACAATACAACTGTCAACACCAATGGTTGAACATTTGACTTCAAACATGTATAACAATACCCTTCAGATATAAAAAAAACATATCAAATCGTTCCACCTTGGTGTTTTGATTCAAATATCCAATTACTGCAGGTATAAATGAATTCTTATAGATGTTTCTCACTGTCCTGGGCATTAGTGTCTTCTAGAAGGCAATAAGACAAGCTGATCATTCAAAGGATGAGTAGCATCTTTCAAAATGCACTCAGCTTTCCTAACACACTTGCAGCACATGATCCAGTGTTTTCAGCGTCTCACAGAGGCTCTGTTCACAATAAAGCCCAAAGTATACTTCTGTCTGCAATTCCACAATGGTCCGTGCACTGACAGTATGAAATCAAAAAAAATTTTTTGTCGTCATCAGGCAGGTGCGTGTACAGGTCCATTTTTGTGAAGTTTCAGCTCAAAATACCCCATAGATCATTTTTTTAATATCACTTTGAAAATGCCCATTTTTAATGGAAGCAGAAACGCACCGTTTTTGTGCATGTCTCTTTAAATGCAAATGAGCTGCTGCTCCCTGCCCCCTTTTCCAGAATCGGACTGTGACTTTACAGCTTGTACCTCAGATACTCTGCCAAAAAACATCTGTTTGGTTTTGATTATCATGTCTATCTCGCGGAGATAATACATTTTAAACTATATTAGTTTGAACTACTTGTATACGGTTTTCTGAGCTCACATCTGAAGCACACGCACAGAAAGCAGCTGTCACACGGCATGTGAGTACTAAACTAAGTTCTCTTTCATGTCTTACTGCGCTTAAAACTGTAAAATATACACAAGTTTGTTAAACACATGAATTATAAAAGCAGTCGGCTATGTCTGTGAAGGTAAACCACTGGGAAAGAAACTGGATGTTTATGTTAGATCTGTGTGGCAGCAGCGTAATATACAGTAAATAAATCAATAAATCCACTGCTCTCTTGTCTCCTCTGAGGCTGGGACTCTAAACAGTGTTCTGTGCTCGAATGTGCAGACAAAGACCGAACAGTTAGCATGTTTTGCTCAAACTTTCGCAATGGCGTTAGAACTGGTACACCGTTGTCGCTTGCGAAAACAATGGCGGTGCCGTGGGTGGAAACTTACAGATTATGGGGCGGTAATATTATAATGAGATCCCCTTACAACGTCACTAGGGGAGCGAAATCAAAGCGGCTCGTTTTTTCACAAACTTGCAGATACATTTTTTTCCCCATGTTTTCTGGGTTGGTAGATGCACCGGGGACCCGATTATAGCACTTAAACGAGGAAAAAGTCCGATTTTCTTGATGTCACCTTTAGAATAGTAACATTTCTGTAATAATAATAGTATAATACTAATAAGAGTTTCAGTTGCTAAGAAAATATTTTGTCTGATCAGAAGTAAATTTAAATGCTAAAAATGAGATTTTTATTTTTATGCCCTTTATTTTGTGGCAGTGTTTCCTCATAATATGGATATTTAGAAATTCCAGTTTTGTGGCAACATTAATGTCTACTATGTCAATTATTACTAAATGGCAAGAAAAAGAACATTTCTCTAATAGTTTCATTATTTTATTAATGACTGTTCAATTTAAAAAAAAAAAATAAACTGCATGAGAACTTGAAGCATTATTTACTTGTCACTGTAAAATAGTGTTATGGCTGCATGTTGTCATTTATTTATATTGCCCATTTAATTATTGTGTGTAGTAGCATATTACTTTCTGTTGAATATTGCTGTGAAATTGAAGTTTGTATCAAGTATCATCTACTGGAATATAGATATCAACCCCATTGGTTTTAAAGTCACTAGCAGTAATTTTATAGGTGATATTTTGTCATGCGAGTCCATTCGCAATATAATTCTGGCTTAATTATTTGAAGACTTTACACAACAGTCAGCTCATTTACTTTTGTTGTGAATGGATTCCAGCTGTGAAAAAGGACCTGTCTTTACCATGCTTTCTCTGTGTCACTCCAGCAGTCTGTCTCCGGATCTTCTGGATGGGAGTCTCAGTAGCGTCGGCTCCTCCTCCGACTCTCCCGCCAAGATGGAAGGAGTGTCGCCCTCCTCCAGTAACTCGCTTCAGGACCTCTCCCCTAAGTGATCCGCCGAGCATCACGTACATCACAGGAGGACTGGGCCGCTTCTCAGGCCCTTTTCTACTCGTTTTACTTTTGTTCCCAATGCCTTTCCAAAATGGCTTTCGTTCTTTTCCTGAATTGTTCTGTTACATTACATTTAAAGCGAGGCGTGAGAGTTTTCCGTGTGGGACAGACCCTAAGGGCATGGATGGAAAGACTGTGGATGTTTTTTGCATCAGCTGCTATAAATAGATGTAAAACATGGTGTATAGATCTGTATCAAAGCGAAGGACATCACGGAGGAGGATCGTGGATTTTGTTTTTTGTTTTGTTTTTCTTTCTGATACCGCTTCGAAAAGAAAACCGCTGTAAACAGGAGAACAACTACAGGCACGTTCTTTGATTTGCAATCTCAGCTTGCCAACCAGTATTGTGTGTGAGAATTTAACTTATTTTTTTGGCTTTTATTTGTATGTAAGTATGTACATAAGATTCGTGGCAAAACGTGCAGAGGCAAAGAGCTCGACCGGGAAACTGACAGCCGCCTCTTCTGCAGTTTTATTAGCGGTGCAACTGCACTTTAAAGGGGCAGAATTTCATTTTGCGCTTAGGTCTGAATCTGCTTATGTAGTTTTTCAGGAATGGCCTTTTTTTGATTTTCAAGTAGGTGGAGGAAACTTATTTTATTTTTTTTTTCAGATCTTGGCACTTCATTCTCTGTTAGAATGATATTCATGGTTGCTATACACAACTACTGCAGATGGGATTTAATATTGCAGCTGTTGGTAACCACTAAACCCTCGATTTGAACACTACAGAGAAACTAAACTGCCTGTTGAAGCTGGTCAACCTAAAGACTTGCGTACAGCCATGTTGTCAGAGAATGGAGCAAAACATCCGGGGCTGAGATGAATGATGTCCCGTGTATGTTTTAACTTTTCACACAGTGGCTTTGCCCCGTTTGTTATTCGGGAAGGATTTGGAGGAGAATGCAATGCTCTCTACAGTTGCAGTTAAACGCATTTTCAGAGGCTGTTAACAATCATACGTTTGGCAATGTGGAGCAGAAGTGCAAAGAAATGAAACCCTCTCATCAAAAATGTTATTTGTGGAGTTTTAAATGTAATCTACTGATACCGAAACGGTGTGCCATTTAAATTTGTATATAAGAGAAATGTACAACTGTAATAGGAGGAGTTCTTTGTTTGGGGGTGTAGTTACTTTAGGAAATAGTATTTTCTTTTGTAAATGGTTTCCTAAATTTCATTACAAGAAATTGCTTTATTTCCTCAAGCATGATCTGATGTATCATAAATTCATTTTTCTGTGCAAGAAAGTGATTGTAAAATTTTTTTTTTTTCATTTAAGTGAATTGAAAGAGTGAGGGGGTAAGAAAAGTGACACCGCAGTGTAAATCTTTTTCTGAATGTCTTTGCAAACAAAAATACAGTAAGTGGGTCGTGTAGATCCAGGTTTTGGCCTGTAGTGATGGGTGAAGTGTATTTGTAGTTTGCTCTGCTGGTTTATTTTTTGTCCTGTGGACGTGTCGAATTCTTTATTTAATGATTTTACTCTGTCCTGTCGCCTCGTGCAGTGCTTTTAAAGCCTTTGCACATGAACTCTGTCGAGGAGGACTTGAGTGCTGTCATGAGGACGTGTAGTTGTGCTCTCTGAACAAATCTTGTTCCCATCATATCAGAGACTTCCAGATGTCAGAAATAAATTATTTGTCCAGCTATTTTGTTGCCTTGTCTTGTGATATCAAACTTACCTGCTGTTGAGTCTGGTTGTCTTCAAATACACGATGGTCATAACGGATGTTAAAAAGTACTTTTTGTGCACTTCATTTAGTCATAATTAATCTTTCTGCTTTTCACAGACTGTGATGCATTTCTACAATTAACTTTGTGAATGTATCATTTAACTATTTTTAATGTTTTTGAAAGGCTCTTATGTTCACCAAGGCTGCGTTTATTTGATCAAAACCAGCAAAAATAGTAATAAAATATGATAATTGAATTGAACATCACTGTTTACTATTTGAATAGATTTTGAATGTCATGTATTCCTGTGATGCAAAGCTTCATTTTCAGCATCATTACTCCAGTCTTCAGTGTCACATGATCTTCAGAAATCATTCTAATATGCTGATTTCCTGCTCGAGAAACATCTCGTATCAATGTTGAAAACAGTTGTGCTGCTCTTTGATGAATAGAAATGCAAAAGAACAGCATTTATTTGAAATGGAAATCGTTTAAACATTATAAATGTCTTTTCTGTCATTTCTGATAAAGATAATGCACCCTTGCTGAATATAATAAAATGTAACTAACCCAAAACCATGTATTATATTACTGTGGGTAATATAGAAACTAGTTACAAAGGGGTTTCTAAGACCGTTTCTGAGAGAGAGTTTGGAAAGAGCCATTTATATTCAAACTTGTTCTTCAGTCTGTTGTAACTTAAAAAATTTTTTTTTAAACAAGCCAAGTAAAAACACTATCTAATCCTGTTCTAAAAAAAACATTTATCACACTCAAGTTACATATTGCTTCCTTAACCAACTGAACTATCATACAGAAACTAATGTTACTACCAATACTTTTGAACATGAAAGTGTGTTTAGGAAATGCTTTTAACAATCAATTTCTTTATTTGATGTGGCATCTATAGAGATTACTGTGCACAAGACTTAAGCAGTGGACAAACATCAGAACATAAAAGCCATTTTCAGTCTTGAGAAAAGCAACAAAAAGGCACAGACACCGAATATGACGTATAACAACACATTTAATTTAATGTATTCATGTTCCTCTACACCCCCCTCCCACTTAACATAATAGTCAGCCGGATTCAATGGCAGCTCAGTCAGTGTTCGGCCTGTAAACACAGAACGCTCCCTTCACCTCGCCCATGGATCTTTGTGTCTTCGTGTCTGTGAGTTTGTGATGATCATTTAAGAAGTTAGTTCCTGTTTATAGGGAGTTTCTCAGACGTGCTTCCCCTCCATCCTCACAACCCTCCTGGCTGTGTTAATGTCCATATCTCCCCTCTTCATCATTTTAGTTCCTTTCAACGAGATCGTTTCCAAGAGCACTTCAAGTGCGCAGAATAACCATTGTAAGAAGACCTGTGCGACATGGGAAACAAATCATGATAAAGTGCACAAGACAATGTATATTTGCAATATGATACTTTTTTTGCGACTCACCTAAAACATAAGCAGCTACAAGTTTCTTGTTAACACTTAAGTGGAGGTAGACAGGCACTGTGGATTCCTGCTCTCCCAGAGTTGGGAGCATAAGGGCCGCCATACACACCAGGCCTAAAAGGACAGTGAGGAGGCTGGGGCCCCCAGATGCTGTACGGCTCTCTGTGCAAACACAGAAAAGGAAGAAGCAGATGGTTTTAAAATGAAAGCAAACCACCAAACAATAAAAATAATACAGCTCTCTGACTCCACCCAGTGGGAAAAGGAGTTAACAGCAACAGCTTTAATAGAGAGCTCAGTAAGGCCTAAAGCTAGCAGGGAAAAGCTACCAACCAGTCCGTTTTTTTTTTTTTTACACTGTATACAGTTATTTTCAAGCAAAAGTTATATATATATATAAAATAGATAATAATATACATATATGTATAAAAAATATATATAGAATTATTTATACTGTACTACCATTTTACTTTAATATCGTGATGCATTTCTGACTGAAACGAGATATTCAACAGCGAGCAAAATGCTGAGACATAATTTTATTCTTAGTGAATTACCTGGATTATAAAAGTTTTTTAGTGACTGGTGGATTGGATATTTAAAATAAATGAAGAGTGTTGAAAAGATGGAGAAAGCCATTACTCTTTGATGAAAGATTACAAGCTTTTTTCTTTGGAAATACAAGCGCCTATGAATCAATCACAGCAGGAACCAAGAATGCGTTTTAAGAACATAAATTCACGTTGACTGTAAAATGCACCTGTCTGGAATGCAGTCTGCTCAAAGAACACTCTGTCAGCAAGCTGCTCCTTCATCCTGCGCTCCTCTTCCTGGGGCCGGACCTGGGGCTGCTCCTGAGCGGCGGAGGGCAGCAGAGTGGCCATCACTTCCTTCCTGCCCAAAGCCTTCCTCTGACTCTGCTCAGACACCTGCAGCCGGAACTTATCAATCACCCCGTAATGACAGGCCCGCACGTCCCTATGGCGGATCACACTGTTTGGCGAAAATCACAAGAAATGGAAGGCTGTGAAAGGCTGAAACAAATCGAAATGACATTTTTCTGTTTCAAATATTGTGCAAGACCTGGAAACTTACATATCCACGCAACATTGCGGTTTAACAGCACCAGTGGCATCCACCACAGCATACTTGTTTGGCGCTGTGCACAAAACTGATGGAACAACAATCAGTTAAAAAAGGAAGGACCACTGCAACACACTATGGCTACTAAAACAAAATATATGACTTACCTTTGAATTTAAGAGCAAACTCATAAGGGTTGTAGAGGGTGAGCACCTGCTTATGTGAAGCCTGCTCATCTGCATAGAACACCAGCTCAGTGGGGAACACAAACACTGGAAGGCTTCCCTCCACTAGGTCAGGCTGCCGGCTCTGCTGCTGCATTGGCTTCAGCTGAGCTCACGTCCTCCTCCCTTTATCGTATTTCCACTCCGTCTCTGGGCTGAAACGGTGCAGAGATCCAGTTCTAAATGCAGCCAGTTCAGCTCTTTGGCAGCATGACGCTCACCTCTGAAATGACAGAAATGGGGCCACTTCATCATGACAGACAATAGGAGGCAGAAACACAAATAATATGTTTACATAAAAATAACAAAGTTTGTCATAATAATAAAAATAGAACATCAAACATTAATAGTAATGAAAAGAAATATCACTGAGCAGCAAATCAACATATCAAAAAATGATTTCCCAAGGATCATGTGATGCTGAAGACTGTAGTAATGATGCTGAAAATTCAGCTTTGCCATCATAGGAATAAATTACATTATAAAATATATTTAAAGACAAACCAGTTCTTTTAAATTGTAATAATATTTCACAATATTACTGCTTTTATTGGATTTGAATCAAATAAATGCAGCCTTGGTGAGCATAAGAGACTTCTTTCAAAAAACTCACTCAAATAGTGGGTCATGACCAAAAAATGATCCAGGTCTGTTCTGATGCAGATGGCTAAATGATAAATTAATTCACATGAAGAAACTCAACTAACTATATAATTGTGCATTACTAAGATAACAAAAAGGAGGAGAAAACACTTCCCATATCAGCCTTGATGTCAAAGGCTGCACATTCTGTCAAACTGTGTGTAAATCTATTTTTGGCACAGATTCATCTGTCAACTTGGTATAAGCAGCCAAACTAGACAGACACCAAAAAAACCCAGACTGTTTGGCAAGCACTCAAAGTGCAAAAAAAACATGTTCTACTGTGAATTGTCAGCTGTTAATTAAATGATCCGACTTTATAAATATTTAGAAACTAAAATGATCAATTATCCTATTTAATGTGTCATGTTAATAATTTATCATGTTGTTAGGCCTATGCAGTTTGTGGTAATATGTCAATATTTGATCTGAAAGACGTTTTTTGTACAATAACCAACTTTGGTACCGTGCTGGGCAAATTGACATAAAATCTGAATCCTAAAACAAAACCAGCTGCGGACTAACGCAACAGGAGGTTTAAATTACAACGGAATTCGTCTGAAACTCAAGGATTTCGCAATACGATCTAAAGCAATAAATAAATAACGTCAAACCTAACCGTCTCTAACATCATACTAGTGGTCAATGACACAGCATGACAGCTGGCAGATACCAGCGTGTCTGCTCTCAAATATCAGTCCAGAGATGAATTCATCTGGCTTTTACAAATGTCAGATAAATACACCCAACAGGCACGTAAAAAAACAACGCTACTCCTCAACTAAATACTAAACCCCCCTGTAAGTGTCCTCTGTATAATACACAAAACCCTGTCGAATTATTGATGTCTAGCTAGAGAATGTCTAGAGCAGATCGGATAACGTCCTGACAGACCTTTTGTCCTCTTGAAGGCTATTGTGTTTCGCTGACTATTAGCAGAGAGATCGCTATATGTAATATGACATTCGTATTTTAATAAACCAACACATTAAAGCGTCCATTTGCGTCCGCAAACCGTGTGATGTCAAATATTCCTCACATACAATACATTTGGATGTCTAATGTTAAACTGAATTCAAGAACGATATCAGTATCTGCCTGAAATATGATTAGCAATCGCTGTCATTTCAGTTCTCCACAGTAACTAACATTTAATAAGACGTTCCGCTTGCAGATACTGTTACTGGTTAAAATAATTAAATAAACGTGATGTTTAGTATTGTTCAATAGATGTATTGGATGTTGACGTATTGCTGGTATGGTTAACATATTCATGCTAGCATAACAATATGGTAAAATCGAGATAACACAGCGTTTAATATTACGTTACTTAAAGAATAAGGTATATCAAAAACAATTAATAAACATATATGTTTACCTCACTCCCGTTTAACGATATTTATTTCAAATCCCACCCCGTTTCCTTTTTCTTTGTCAACAATACGCTGCAAGGGCGCATTGAATGCTGGGATACTGGAGGGCTTCGGGAACTCCGCCAAAGTCATCTATGACGTCATTGAGTTTCGCAAATGTACTTTCTGTTATTTATAATATTTTTCTCTGGAAATGTTTTCAGAAGATAAATCGTCTTTCGTTTTATACCTCTAAATCTTAAACACAGTTTGGGTGACCGTTTTCCAAT